AAAGGCAGCTCGATGCCTCGTTTAAAATTTGCAGAGAAAGCATGCTGTGTCCCTGCTGGCAGAAATGATGCCCCTGGGTTAGCACTGAAGATTTTTGGTGATAACAGGGAAATTTAGCTACCCGGCTTCCGAGAAAATACTAATCACAGCAGCTTGCGTAAGGTCTCTGAGGCTTTTTTTTTTTACTTGGACACTTACGGTAGGGTTCATCTGACTAAATTTGGTCTCTGCAATTTGGCCGGTGTTGGACTACTCACCTTGGCTGTCCCACGAAAGGATGGATTGGGCGAGGGGCGGTGACAATGCACCAGCACAGGCACCTACGCCAGATTAGCTGATCTGTCCTGCTGGTGCCAGGGACCAGATCAGGGGTGGAGACTCAGCCTTACGCAGAATGAACCCAGCATCGCTCTGTTATTTCATGATGGGTAACTACTACCATTACCTACCGTTACTGCTAGGCTCGGCTCCTTCAGCCCACAAAGGTGCCTAATCTGAGACAGCGTGGATGCCAAAGTGTCAGAAAACAGAAAGATAATATGGGGAAAGAAGTAAACTTGGAAGGTGAAAATGCATGTGGAAACAGAGGCAACGCAATTCAACATGTTGAGGGGGCGGTGGTGAGCTCACAGCCTGCTTAATTCCTCTGAGGCTGTTAACCAAGAATATAGTTATGTGCAGTTAGAGAAACAGCAGGGTGATCAGGAATATGCTACACACTGATAAGACAGTCTAAATTATCTCATCAGCTGAAGAACATGGTTTTATAAAAGCAGGTAAAGAATATGGATTTTAATCAATGCGACTCTCACATTAAATGTCATAAATTAAGAACAGGGATGACAATAAAAGGAGGTTTTAAAAACCCAGAATTTTACTAGAAGGGACAGAACTTAACAGACTTTTTTTTTTTAAAAAATCAAGGCTCAGTGATTAAATCAAGACAGTTCATACAAAGAGACTATGGAAAGGAGATCCAGTTGCATGAGTAGCCCTGGAAAACCTAGCAAGGTCTTGGAAGAACAGCATTTTAAGTGTAAATTCAAAATCGGCCTTTTTAGGCAGAAGGAGACAAGATCTGGACTTGAAGAAAAGAGATTAAGAGAGTAGAAACATTTTCCATTTACCTTCATCTAAAATGCTGACAATTCCAGAGACAGGAAAAAGAAAATGTAATTACTGAATATTACAGACAGCCTGGGCAATGAACACATGAATGTATTCAGAGAAGGGAGCTGAGTGGGTTTCGATATCTGGTTAGAGAACAGGGAATAACATAAGGAAGGAAAGGTGCATGGAAAAGAGGAGAAAAATCTCACAAAGCCTGAGAAGAAGCTGGATCCAGGTAATAGGGAGAGAGGAGCGGAGAGGAGAAAGGAGAGGAGAAAGGAGAGGAGAAAGGAGAGGAGAGGAGAGGCAGAAGCTCATCCATGAACGGTGGGATTCCACCCAGGGACCTGTGCAAGAGAGCAGCTCCTGCAGTGGCAACCAATTTCTCTGAAAGCTTTAAAAAAACCAAACCCGCAAAGCTGAGAACATGCTCCGCAAAACCTTGGTGCGATCGGTATGTCGTTATTGGGGCGGCGGGTGTTAAAGGGTAGAAGCAGCTGACTCGGAGCAAGTGGAAGGTTGGTTCGTTCCACTCCGCTTTGTCTTTCCTGCTCCAGGAGCTGGCTCTGCTGATGGGGTCGTCCCTAGCTTTCTGCAGACACTTCTTGAAGGCTCTGCTGAACACCTGTACACCGGGCCAATTTCTCAATATGAAGTCGACGATTTGACTAGAGCTGCTTTGACCGCATTAAAGGAATGTATTGATAAGCTTTCTCCCGAGCACGTAAAGGCCCTCGTCAATCTGCTGGTAATTAATTCCTTTTAGTATTATCATAAATGTCTATAACCGTGCAGCCTTGTACCAGATTCTGGTCAAAGAGCACCCAAATACTTTAACTTAAGCATCCCTTGGCCTCAGGGTCGGTTGCATGCCAGCACAAAGCTCCCAAGTGCTTTGAGAGATCGTTAAACAAAAGATGCTCTCTACAACAAATACAACGATGTGTCTTACTGGCTAGAATTTACAGAAATGCTAACTTTTGGCAGAAGAAGCACCTGCTTCATGCAGGTGTGCTTTCAGGAACAGAGCCAAGATGAAAGAAAACTTCTAGGTAACGGCAAGAAAGACTCCGGCGCAGGTGATGCTTGCTCGTTGTTCGCGTTCGCACGTGAACGCACGGCATGTACTGACCCGGCGAGCACCTGCAGGTGAGAGGCTGAGCCTTTGTCCTCACGCAAGTGCTGCCAGCGCTTACAGCTTCGGTGTACAGTTCCAGTACCATGGCTAAGCCCGGCTGTTCTCTGCAGTCGTCTCTTCCGGCATGCTACATTCACCGCTCTTACTTTCTGTTTCAGAAACTTGTTCGGACACAGGCTTGAATTGACAAGATATTTGCCCCAGCTGCTGACAACACTTCTGGATGACTTCCAGTTTTCTCCTATCCAAAGCCTCTGGGAAAACAAATATAACAAAATGGAGAAAACCAGGACGCTGGCAGCTGTTTTTCTAAACTCTGCGTGCCGAGTACTGCACCCTGTCACCTTCCAGTCTATTTTAGATCTTTAGAGGTAACATTAAGTTCTAAATAAAATTCAGATGATGTTTTAAAATTATTTCTGTCATCTGTTTTTATAAATAAAGGTCTTTTTTTCTCCTTCCTGCTGTTAGGAGGAGACGCTGTCTGTTTTGGTAAAGTCTAACCAACAACATTATTGTATCACTGACTCACCCACAACACGCACACGAACATACACACGGGTCAGCAGTTTAACTCTGAATGACCTGAGGGAATCGCGTCCTCATCCAAAGCAACTTTTTCCAAGTGTTGGCCATTTTTCAAAATAAATGCAGTAGTTCTGACAGCAATGGATCCAAAGCTCGCTGAGCACGAGCGGAACAGCCAGCTTGCTTTGGACCGCGCTCGTGGCCGTCTGAGCATCCCCAGGAGGCACGCGCAGAGGCACCCGGAGGAGAAGGGATGTTTCAGCGTCAGCACTGACGACAGCCAAGACCTGAAAGCAAGCTGGATACCCAGTGATTCCCAAGGGGAAACTGGGCAGACAGCAGAGCTGCACCTCACCCCGGAGCTCTCGGCTGCTCCTTTGCAGATGGGACTGTGGGGAAAGTACCAGCAGGGACAGTCACCCTTCTGAACGCCCGAGGAAACGGCTCCCTGGCCATCTTGTTCCACGCGTCCCCACCACTTCTCTTCAGCTTCACACTCTCCTTCTAGATACACTGAGTCCACATGCACTCACAAATCTAGTGAGGCCTGAGGGAAGGATAATGTCGTAGAATCACGGAATGCTTTGGGAAGGGCCCTTCAGAGCCCACCCAGCCCAGCCCCTGCAGTGCCAGGGACCGCTTTAACCAGCCCAGGGTGATCACAGCCCCGTCCAGCCTGGCCTGGGATGGTGCCAGGGATGGGGCCTCCACCGCCTCTCTGGGCAACCTGTGCCAGTGCTTCACCACCCTCATTGTGAAAGATTTCTTCCTTATGTTCAGTCTAAATCTATTCTTCTTTAGTTTAAATCCATTACTCCTCGTCCTGTCACAACAGGCCTTGCTAAAAAGATTGCCCCCATCCTTCCTACAGGCCCCCAGTGTCCTTTTTCTGGAGGAAACCGATGTGTAATCCCGAGTACAGCCTGCTGGTGAGAGGTGGTCGGTGGTCGCCAGCACATCATTTGTTTTCCCTTTTTCCCCCCCTGCGCTTGTTAAATGGTCTTTATCGTTCCTCTTGCTTTTGCCCTTCCAGTCGTCTCCCCCATCCCGCTGCGGGGGGAGGGAGCGAGCGGCTGGCGGGGGCTCGGCTGCTGGCCAGGGTCAACCCTCCAGTTTCCAACCTTGTTTAAGAAGCAATACAAAAATGGCCTTGCTCCAGGGCGAATGCCTGTTGCGAAGGAGCTGTGCCTGCCAGCTGCTGCGCCTGCAGTCGCCGGCAGTGGGAGATCCCCTGACCCGAGCTGGAGAGTCCATAATGCTGAATTCTCAGCTTGCACTTTGTCTTTTGACGCATTTCCAAGGGGTCTGTGTCATGATCTTAATGTTAAAAGGAAGTGAGAGAGTGAAGCTCTCGTTCCAGTTGCTCTGGCTTCTCCATTCAAGGCACCCCAGTGTCTGCAAGACTCCTCAGATGCTCCTGATCTCTTCCAGCAGGAGCATCCGTCTGTCTGTCCATCTAAGTTGTTTGGGGAGTTCATGGTGACCAGGCTTTTCAACTCCAATGCCCCAGAGACACATGAAGTGACTTTTCCAAAGTCACCCTGGAAGGGTTTGGACAGCGATGAGAAGTTTGATTCTTCTGATTGTATCAGCAGCGTGCAAGTACTCACAGCTGCAGTGTAAGCACCCCCAGGTTTTCGTGCCCCGGGGTTTTATGCTTCCAAGCTAATGACCCCAAGCATTACCCAGCACTTTGTTTAGTGCCCACTAAGTTTTTTTTGTCCCCGACTTTTATGGTTTGGGACCCTTATGGGTTCTCTTTCATCACTGTCAGTCCGTTGCTGTCTCAGCCCAACCCTCATCCCTGCACGGGACATGTCAAGGACTTCATTCAGCGCATAAACCCCTGCCGCGCCGGCTGTCCCCGATCCCTGTGGACACCCTGCTTCCCAGCCGAGAGGTGGGGAATCCCTTTTTCCAGGGCCCGTGCTCAGAGGGCTGCTCCTCCAGCACTGCCCTTCCCCGACCACGCAGCCAGGGCATGGCCTGCGCCCCTGACCCTGCTCCTGCTCCCCCAGGGACACAGGCGCCTGTCCCTGCTGTGCCCCGTCCCCACCCCAGGCACAGGCGGGGGACACAAAGCACAGCTCACACATATTTTATTTATTGTCCCTGACTGTGACAAAGGGGCTGTGCCCAGGGTGTTCCCAGGTACGAAGGGATGTCACCAAGGTGGGGGGGATGATGCGGTGTGTCACCGGGGCCGCAGGGACAACACGGGGTGTCAACACACGTTGAGGGTGTCACTGGGGTGGGGGGACAATGTGGAGTGTTACCAGGGCTGAGGGGGAGTTGATGACATGGGGTGATCCTGGGTGGGCGGGGGAACAAGGGGGTGTCCCTGCATGTGGCTGGGTGTGGGGACATGGCACGTCCTTGTGTGTTGCCGTGTGGGGGAGGACACATGGAGCGTCCCCATGTATGTGTGGGGACTCACGGGGTACAGGGTCTGTCCCCAGATATGTAATGGGACCTAAGATGCCCCCTCCCCACTCAGCTGTGCCCCACAGTGACACAGAAGCCCCCCGTCCCTGTGTCCCCCTGCTACGCGATGCCACGTCCATCAACCCGTGCCCCTGTGCGTCCCCATGTCCTACCCGCGCTCGCAGATGAGCTCGACGACGCTGTGCTCCATGGGGACGGGGTCGAGGCAGCGGT